TGTTGGATTTTTGAGAATGATATCTTACATGCTGACCTTCACTTTTCTCCACATTTTCCCCTTCTTCTTACTTATTTGCTGGGTTAAATTAGCATCCAGAGCACCTTTGCATCTAGCCTGTAACATTTGCTGTTCTCATTGCCTCCCTCTTCTACTTTTCGTTTTTCATGGCTTTGATTGTTGTTGTTGTTATTTTGGGGTTACTTCGTGTTACTCCTGATTCTAGACTTTATTGCCTGTTGTTGTCTGCTTTTGCATTTCTTGGCAAAAGAAAAATATTCCTCCTAAACTTTGTTGAAAGTTCAAATCACTCAGGGAAAAAAAATCTAGATCCCAGTCCCCTGACCCCCAGGGCACACATTGTACTATAGAAAGAGTTTTGTAGGTGTGCAGCATTTTTTACTAATAAACTTTTAGCGTAGGACCAACTTTTGTGGCTGTAAACGTTGAGGTAGTAACAAATATAATAAATTAGGAATATAATTGCCTTACACCTCTGCTATTCTCTTACATGAGATATAATGTTTGCCAAGTAAATACAAAAACATTGTCACTGAGGGATGAATACTTATCTTTCTCTGAGCTTTAAAATAAAAAATTTCAAAACTATAAAGAAGGGAGAGTGGAGAGCAGAGAAAACAACCTTTTAAAACAAAGTTCAAATCAATAATGATAACATTTCCTAGCCTCTATTTTCCTGCTAATGACTGAAGATAAGTACTAATTAGAGAAGCCTGAAATGTCTGGATTTCTAGTTGGACCAGATGGTGCTGTGTGAGAACTATTCATAGTGCCAGAGAGAAGTCTGGGTTGTTCTTAACTATCTTTCTTTCATCTTGATCCTCTCTGAGGACACTTACATCTGGCTGTTTTTCTTTGTCCTTTATCCTCTCTGTTACTTCTAATGTCAGAAGATACATTCTCTGCTATCCTTGGTGAAGGTTCTTCTTATAATATTTTTTTAAACATGGTCTCTCTGTGTAGTTCAAGCTGCCCTTGAACACACTGTGTAACCCATGCTGACCTCAAACTCATGGCAATCCTCCTACTTCAGCCTCCCTAGTGCTGGCATTACAGGTGCCACCATGCCTGGTGTGCTTGCCTTACAGCCATGCACCATCATTCCTAGCCTGCTTGTGATCTTTTAAAGTCTTTTTATAGATGGTCTGAAAGTATTTCATTTGGTTTATACTTCATATATTTTCTTCCTTTCCTGTTAACTCTGGTAACCAACTCTGAGAAAACTTTGATTTTTTTAAATTGACATTTATTAAATTTGGTAACCAACTCTGAGAAAACTTTGATTTTTTAAATTGACATTTATAAACTGTTAACTGCTGGTATTTGTCTTGACAAATGCTTCACATGCATTTTCTACAATATACACATTCATGTTATGATAACAAAGCATGGAAGTGATTAACCGAATTTTCACTTTGTTTTTTGGTACCCGGGATCAAACTCGGGTCCTTGCGCTTTCACAGCAGGCAGTGAAACCACTGAACTAAATCCCTGGCCCAAATTTTCACTTTTTTAAAAATAAAAGGACATAGTCTATTTGTTGTGAAATTTATGATGTAATTTGGTAATTAAATGTCTTGATTTGGTGTTTTTTGAGGCAACTGTCTTTAGTGGAACCAAAAGAAAAAAAATGAATGAGATTACTTTCAACATTTCCAGCTCATGGACAACAGCTTCCTCCTCCCCCTCCTTCTCCTCCTTCTCTTTCTCCTTCTTCTCTTCTTGCTCCTCCTCCTCCCTTGCCTCCTCTTCTTCCTCCTCACCTTTCTCTCTCCATGTTAGTTACATTTCTTGTTGCTCGGACAAAATACCCAACACCCAAAGTTAAAGGAGGAAAAGTTTATTTTAGTTCACGGTTTGTAGAATTATCAGTCCATAGTCAGCTGGCTCCAAGGTAGGGCAGCTTAGCAGAGGAACATGGCAGAGGAGAAACAGTCCATGGGAGGGAAGGCAGAAAGTAGCCGGCAGTGATCCTCCCTTTCCCTTTTATTCCATTCAGGTTACAAGCCTATTTATTGGTTGATGCTGCCCATACCCAGGGTGAGTCTTCCAGAACTATGCTAAACCAATCAATGGACCAGTTTAGTTATCATATACCCTTAATCCATATTTACACACTCTGGATGAAGCCACCTCTGAAATGCCCCACCTAAGAGTCCGTGAAGCTTTGGTGGACATCTAGATACAAGCCATAACACCCCCTCTTTTTTTCCTTTGCCTTCTCCCTTTTCCTTTTCTTCCTTGTTCCTGCTAAGGAACAGTTCGGGCAGCAGAACCAATTAGGAAGGTGCTACAATAATTTAAGCAAGAGATCTGAAGTCCTAACTTTCTGGAGGAGCATTAAGCATGGAAAGACATTCACATTATTATCTTCAAACACATAGGCTGAAAAGGTTTCCATAATTTATTTCATAATTTTTAAACTGCTTTTAGAGTTTAGAAACTACAGGGGCTTTTTTAGGTTAGAAAGCTAACTCTTTGACCACAGCAATGTTGAATTAGGTTTTTTTTTTTTTTGATTCTTGTCATTGTGAATTTTTTATGTTGATGCAAAAAAGCCAATTTTTAAAAAGAATTCTAAAATAGCAGATCGACTTGAGAGTATTTCATATTATTACGAAGTGCCTGTATTCTCTGTGAATGACTTTAATTCTAATTAACTTGAGTATTTCTAGTTATTAGTTAATATTTTCTTCTTGAAACTTCCATATTAAGATTAATTATTCATCTTTAAGTAAAATTATTCCAGTCATTGCAGTTTTATCACGATCCTAGGAAACTAACAAAGAGAATAATTAAAAACTGTTGCAAATAGCATTTGTATCTATCTATATTTAAAATGCTCTTCAATTGATCAAGCAGATGTTGTTACAGATTTTTGTCTTTGCTATGATAAATTTCCCATTAATTTTGAAAATCTGTGTTTTAAGAATGTGATTTCAAGTTTCTCATAGCTGAACTGCAATTTGTGAAAGTTCAAGCAGCTGTACTGACAACAATTTGATAAATTTGTAACTAAAGCTCTTTTAGGAAGAGACTAAGTTCTGGAGCTTCATGTTCTGTATTTTATGTTCAGACATGTGTATTTAAATTTTTTCTCTTGTGGGTCTGGAAAGTATGATATACATTAAACACACACATGTCCATGTATAGAAACATATACATATTCACATATTTATTTATTTATTTATTTATTTTTGATTAAGTTTATTGGTACATTTTAGGTATACAATATAGTTACATTCATCATTGGGATCTTGTACCTTTACATGATATATCTTGGTTCTTATTTTTTCCCCATTCCTCTACTCTCCCTTCACCCCCTCCACCCTTCCCTATTTATAAAGACTGTTTCCATTTTCTCCTTTTCTCATTTTTGTTCTTTTCCCTTCTTTCCTTTCCCCTACTCCTCCCACTTCCCCTACTCTTTTAGACCTTTTCTTCCTCTTACACAGTATCAATTACACATTTTGATCCTTATTTACACTTTTAGTTTTTCACATGAGAAAAACTATTTGGTATTTACACATTTGTCCTATTTATTTCACTTGAGTATGGCATCAATGTGCATCCATTTAGCTATCAGTGTCTCTAGTTTCTTGTTCTTTATGGCTGAGTAGTACACCATTTTATTAAAAAAAAACACATCTTCTTTAACCAGTCTCCAGTTGATGGGCAATTGGGCTGTTTCCAAGCTTTAGCTATTACAAACTGTGCTGCTATAAACATGGGTGAGCATATATTGCTGTGGTATGATGCTTTTAATTCTTTTGGGAAGATACCCAGCATAGAAATACCTGGGTCAAATGAGACCTCTAATTCGAGTTGTTTGAGGTGTCTCCACATTGATTTCCACAGTGGCTGCACCAGTCTGCACTCCTACCAACAATGGAGAAGGGTTCCTTTCTCCCCACAACCCCACCAGCATTTGTTGTTGGTTGATTCCTTGGTAGCAGACATTCTTTCTGGGGTGAGGTGGAATCTCAGCTTTGTTTTCATTTGCATTCTCTCAAATGACCAGTGATGTTGAACATTTTTTCATATGTTTATTTGCTGCTTTTCTTTGTCTGAGAAATGTCTGTTCATTTCAGATCTCCACTTTTGGATTGGATCTTTATATTTGGGGGGTCTGATTTTTTTCAGTTCTTTATATATTTTAGATAGTAGACCTTTGTCTGAGGAACAGCTGGTAAAAATTTTTTCCCACATTGTAGGTTGTTTCTTAGCTCTGTTGGTGGTTTCTCTTGATGTGCCTAAGCTTTTAATAAGATAAGATCCCAGCTGTTGATTCTTTGTGCTAGTTTCGTGCTACTGAGGATTTGTTCATAAAGTTTTTTCCTTTGCCAATGTCTTTGAGAGGTCTACCTAACTTACCTTCCAGTGAGTTTAGTGTTTCTGTTTTATTATTTAGATCTTTAATCCACTTGGATTTTAGTTTAGTACATGTTGAAAGATAGGGGTCTAGTTTTAATCTTTGGCAAGTTGAAATCCAGTGTTTCTAATACCTTTTATTAAAGAGGCTATCTTTCCTCCAGTGAGGATGGTTGGCTCCTTTGTCGAAGATGAGGTAGCTGAGTATGTCTGGAGTTGTTTCTGCATCTTCTAATCTATTCTGATCTTCAGGTCTGATTCTTTACCAGTACCATGCTGTTTTTATCACAGTAGCTTTGTAGTATAGTTTCAGGTTGGGGATTGTGATACCTACTGCCATGTCTCTGTTGCCTAGATTTGCTTTTGCTATTCTGGGTCTCTTCTTGTTCCAAATAAATTTTTGGATTGTTTTCTCTAGTTCTGTGAAATATACTGTTGGGATTTCAATTGGGATTGCATTGAATCTGTACAGAGGTTTTGAAAGTTCACATATTTATTTTTACATTGTGCGTCTACTCTATGTTAGGAGTGAGGATACATATACTTTTTTAAAAACTAAAGCATTTATTTTAAACTTTCACTACCTAAAATTTTTTCTCTTTGTTTAGGTTGAAGAAATTGTGGCTATTGGATCATTTGCTGCGGAAGATATTCATATTCCTAAGATTTATGTACATCGCCTTATAAAGGGAGAAAAATATGAGAAAAGAATTGAGGTAATTGACTTAGCTTATTTGTCAGTATTTATGGATATGATCTGATCCCCAGAGATATGTATCCCTGAGGCCATTCTTTGAGCTGAGCTAGTCTTACTTTGTATCTTAGTAGGAACTTCTCATGTGTCCATCATAAGAAAACATAACTGTGTTACTGTCAAGTCCAATGGTACCTTGTGTTCAAGGTACCACCTGTGTTCAAGGTGCATATTTCCATATCCCATAATTCTTTAGGCTATGTTTAATGGTTCTAATTTGCAATGTATGATTTTGGCTGACTGTCATAGAAGGTACAGAATAATAGAGTCTTTGGTGGGTTTTACCCTTATATTAGCCTCAATATTCAATTGCTTACGAATGTCTGTGGTTCTTGAAATTGCTTTGTACTTTTATGCAGTGCAGCAAGAATATAATTTTTAATTTCTTTTGGGCTCTGGGCAGCAGGTCAGTATGAGTTTGGCAAGAATTGAGTACCAGGAGCTTTGAAGATATTCCAAGGCCAGTGAGAACATAAAGAATAACCAGCTGGGCTGGAATTGATGTCAGGTTTCAAAAGTGTCTAGGGATCAGCGACAGAATAGACACACAATAAAGGATAAGATTGAATTGAGATATTACCCTGTGTACATCAGATAGAAAGACACTGAAATCCAAAACTGTTGTCTGGGATCTTGGGAAAAGGATTTGCAAATAGAAACCAGAGGCAAGGAGATTTAGTAATGGAAATAGTTTTCTGGATGGCTTCTGGATATTTCCATGATTCTTGTGTCTGTACATGTGGCAAAACCAGTCTAAATTCTTCAGGTGGAAATAGGCAATTGGCAGCAGCATTTCCTGGTCAACACGTTCCGACAACCCCGAGAAACAGATTTCCAAGGTCAATTCTTCTCTTTGTTCTGGCTCAATGTTTGGACACCTGAAGAGAATTCAGTTTAAGTCTTATAAGTAACAGTAGCAGCAGCCAGCATGACAATAACTAGAGGATTATTTGCTTCAAAGAGACCGAACAGGTGTATCTTCTTCAAATAAATCTGACCTCTTTCATTTACTTCCTTAAGAAGAATTTCTGTCTTCAAATATCACGTTATTATTTTTAAGAACTTTCCATTGCTATTGCAATTTCAAGTCCCCTCCTAGGGAACTTAGCTGATTTTATCTCAAAAGTTAAAATAATTAAACAAATAAAAGGGGTTGGGGATGTAGATTAGTGGTAGAGCACCCCTGGGTTTGATCTACAGTATCACAAAAAAGGAAAACCTACCCATTACAGATCTGCCTCCTAGTAGTAATGAGAATTAATTTTTCCAGTAAAATTTTATATTGTAGCATGAAAAACACAGAGGATACCTTCAACCATGAATACTTTATTTCTATTTATTTATTTGTTTGTTTGTTTATTTATTTTTGGTACTGAAGATTGAACTTGGGACCTTGCGCTTTCAAGGCAGGCTGCAGAACCACTGAGCTAAATCCCCAGCCCTATTTCTATTTATTTTAAAGCGTTTATCAATCCGGAAGGAAAGTGATGAAAAACCCGAATCTGATAAGCCTGGAGATAATATAAGGGAACGAATCATCAGACGGGCGGCTCTTGAATTTGAGGACGGCATGTATGGTATCCTTTCTAAAGTCATAATTCTTGCTTTTCTTATATTGATTAGGCTATAGTCTCCTCAGTAGCTGTTCACCTCTAGTCCACGGTAACTTTTATAACCATTAAAAACTTTTTAATTTTTATACAAAATACGGCATGTATCAAAGGATGCAAAGGTATATGAAATTGGGATTTTAATCTGTCTGCCTTTTTTGTGTTTTTTTTTTGGTACTGGGCATTGAACTTGGAATCTTGCGCTTACGAGGCAGGCGACAGAACCACTGAGCTAAATCCCTGGCCCCTCTGTTTGCCTTTTTGAAACAAAGTGGCAACCAAGAATTCACTTCCATCTTTTCTAGTATACAGTGGATTTCAGTACAGTTTGACATTGAAGTAGAGGTTATTTGGAAGAGAGGTTACCTATAATGAAGCTTTCAAATCTCAATATTACTAGTAATAACAAGGGATGTTTATTTTCTCTGTATTCTGAAATTTGCACATTCATTGAAACAAAATTCACCTTCTTAACCAACCACTGCCTCCCTACATAAGGATCTTATACATTCACCCTTTTATAGATAATATTTTATAGGGATATTCAACGAATAAATTTTGCCAAAAAGAGCTAGGGTAGGCATGATTTAGAATAATTAGTATCTGGATTAAATGCATTTGATAGCAGTAAGACTTTACCATTTTGCTAATTTTTAATACACTAAAACATTGAACTATATAGTAAAAATATAAATAGTGTGTGATAAATACTTGTTGCGTTTTGGATACAGTAAAACCATACTTAAAGACCTAGGACTTGAAAAATTAGAAACAAGAATTGTTTCTGTTTGTGAACTTCCTTCATCATTTAGACTGATCATGACTGAGAGAGCTTTATTTTTCCCCTTTTTTAAAAACTTCTATCTCATTTTTTTTGAGTTTATATTTTGTGATATGGCAAGAAATTCACATAGGGAACAAGAGTTATCATATTGCCTCTCATCTGACTACTTCCTAGGCAAGATACATAGTGAATCTTGATTTAGGTAAAAGTCATTGGGCTTTCCTCTTAATCAGTTGACTTACCACTGATATCTAAAAACAGACTAAAGCACAGACTTTACATAATAATGACTTGTAGTTGTTCTTTATTCAGTATTTATGTATTGTGTATGAAAAATACTGGCAACTCACTTAACTATATTCTCCTTTCATATCACCTACTCTTTCAACCCAAAGAGCTTTTTCTCTCTGATACATGATTTATTAAAGAATATTTTTAAAACTGAGAAAATTGTAATATATGATGCAAGAATTGAGGTGTAAGGATGATAATTTGGGTTGCTATTACCTAAAAATACCTGTTGGTGATGAATTTATTATCTCAGTGTGCTCTGTCCATGACTGTGAGGAATGAAGTACAAATAATGACATTAGACTGTGATTTGCCAAGAAGTGAGTGATATAGCTGTCCTCATACCTCATAGTCTCACTGTCTCCACAAGAAGTGACTTGGGTCATTATCCTTTTTGCCTTTGTAGTTTATTATATGGTGGCATTTATAAACTTTATTTTTTTTCTGGCCTTGATTCATAAAGATTTCCTTGCAAGTATAACTCATCAGAGGGCCATCATTCTTTGTACTAATTTTGGTAAAGTCTGCTATGTGCAGGGACAGTTGACAGCAATGGATAGCAGTTCCAGGCAGGGTATTTCTATCTGCTCAGCCTGCCTGCATTGAGAAGCAGGATTAAACCCACATGAAGGTGTACAAATCAGGATTGAGCCTATTTTAATCATCTAAGAGAGGGAACCTTCAGTCAGTTCTTTGATGCCTAGCACAGCTACTTGATTTATGGTCTCAGTTATCTCTGTGAAACATACTGGGCCCCACACCTTCCCCTTTATGTTTCTAAGGAGATTCAGTTACCAATGAGTGTTACACAGTGACCCAAAGGAATTAACACACTTTAGGCAGATATTTTGTTATCCTTGAAAAACTTGACAATTTTAAAATGGTATCCTTTTTTTGAATATTAAATCACCTTTTTTTAGCAAGAGTTTTGAATTAGTGAAAATAGATTTTAAATAAAGATCAAGCAATGTTTAATGATATATCAGTCATACATGAGCACATTAATAAAGTGAGTCTTACACTTTCGTTCAAATGACTTCATGGCTACCTTCTGAAGCCACCCCTTTGGTATCCTTGTGGGAAAGGATATTGTTATTGAGAAAGCTGTGACTAATTAGAGATTTTTGTTTCCAAACTAGTGCCCAGAGGGTGATTAGAGAATATATCCAGTAATTATTTTCACAGCAAGTTCTCTGTAAAGATGACTTCTGTTCAGATTTATATGTACAGAAGTTTATGGCATAATCTCTCTCTCTTTGATATGCTGGACCTTAACATCTTTTTTTCTAGCTAATTTGGGCATAGGAATCCCTCTCCTGGCTAGCAACTTTATAAGCCCAAATATAACTGTTCATCTTCAAAGTGAAAATGGAGTGCTTGGTTTGGTAAGATGGAAATTTATATTTTCATTAATTATTAAGTATGGTATGGGTTACTTACAAATTGTTAATTATAGCATTTCCAATATCTTCTTATTTCCCAATATACATTAACTGTTAACAGAACAAAATATAGAAAATGTATATATCTAGTATGTAGTATATAAATAATGATCATGGGAATATAGTTGGTACTGAATGAATGAAGTGATAATCATGACCATTTGCAAAGACACAAAAATGTGGTATGTCTGGATAAAAGCAGATTCCTATTGAAGTCAAAGACTTTAATTTTTTCAAGTATCTTAAAATTTGTCTAGAATGATCAGCTTCTCATTTCAAAGACAAGAGAAATAGCTTTATGTGAATTATCCATAGTTAACATTTAAAGGGAAATTCACATACATAGATCTCTAAAGCATTAGTTGCCACTTCAGTTTATTTACAGAATAAATTCTTGTTCTCTTGAAAGTATGTAAAAATCTTATAACCAACAGTTCTTCATTCTTGGCTTCATTGTATGACCTTTTTTTTCCCCCCTTTTTCTCCCCTCTTTAATATGTGTTATGTTGCGAAACTACTTGCTCTATCCAGATAAGTAGAGCTGCGTCATAAAATATATACAGAATTGACTAAGGATGTGGCTCAGTGGTAGAAGACTTGCCTAGCATGTGTAAGGCCTTGAATTTGATCCCCAGCATGTACACATGCACGCACAGACACACAGTAAAAAAAACTTATTGAGAACAATTGCAAAAGGAACATAAAAATATCTGTGTAGAGAAAGATAATGTTAGAACTCCAAATTCATGCCTTTAAGTGCTGCGTACTGGAAAAGTGAAACTGCTCCTCCAAGTCCTTCTAGACAAATAATGCATCTATAGATATTCATTGATCTTACTAGAATGGTTTAATGAATAACAGTGACTGCATAATAGGTACTAGGTAATTATTTTTTATAGACATACAACAGCAAAATGTTTCTTTCAAACTGATAAGAAACAGATTAGAAAATGATTATCTGCCCAGTCACAACTACTCTAGAAAAGACTAATCAATATGAGAAACATAGCTATGAAAACAGTGGAATTATTTTTAAAAGGTTCACCTCAAGTCTTTGGATGATAACTTTCCTGGGATTATGGGAAAGTTATTTATATTAAATTTTGGTATATGAGTCAGGAAAATTTTCTTTTAGTAACTGAATATATGCTGTATTTGACAGGGTCCATATCCATTTGCGCATGAAGCTGATGCAGATTTAATCAATGCAGGTAAAGTAACTTGTTATATATTATTTCACTTTTGCTGTTACCCTAATTCTGTGCTATAAAGTAACGTGGATTTGGACTCAGTTCTTTGGCTGTTCCTAGAGACGGCTCCACTATATTTATTATTGAGGACTGAGATAAGCCTTTCTGGTCTTATTTTGAAGTCTCTTCTCATTCAGGGATGGCTTAGATGAAGGATGAAATGCAATTGGAGACCCTCTTAATAGAAGAGCTTTGATGGGTTAGTCTGGGTGCTGACTGTACATAGAGAACACTCTCAAATGGGATTATTGAGAAAAATTAAAGGAAAGAACAGTTTATAAGGGTATGGACAGGATTAAAGGAAGCCCATATTGGATGGCAAAATCCCACAGGGAGTTATCACCCATGGGGCTCAAGGGGGCAGTGGTAGGATAGGGGAGAGGGTCCCTTAGTGGGTGCTATGGCCTTTGGTAGAAGAATACCACCAACTTGCAGCAACCTTGGTGTGGTGTAAGGGTTTCCTCTGGTAGGTCTCCAGCCTGTGCCTCCTACTGACCAATCCTAAATCAGAATAGATTAGCTGTCTCTGGTAGAGAAGGTGGGAGTGAATCTATAGCAGCAAAAAGAAAATATGTGGCACTGGGGTTTTTGTTGTAGGTTGTGCATACTGTCCTCTAGTCCTCACGGAAGTGAGAGAAAATCCTCCAAATGCACATAGGTGTGTAAGGATGTACTCTGCCACTAAAACCCAAGCATGTTAGGAAGAGTAGAGATTCTTTGAACCAAGGACTCTAGCTTTATCTTCTCCAGTTTCTGTAATCATATGCTCTGCCTTTTATTAGTAGTCTTGTTTGAATGGGACTTAGCGTTAGTGTATTTGCAGTCTACATGTATTTCCTCTAAAGGAGACGGAAAAGGTTGGGCCTTTGGGCACTGTCATTACTTGACCTAGAGGCAACACTACCATCATATTTGGATTACTGCTCATCCTTGGAGTAGAGCTACCCATACTTCCTATTTTCTAGCATATTTTTCTGCACTGGATTTATTCATTCTACCCACAGGAAAGTGTTATTCTTACTTTGCATTCAAAAATAGTGTGTATAAATCTCAGAAGTAATATGAGCTGAACATAAAGGCCAGCTGCCAAGGTGAATTGATGTTTGATACTTGGAGTTTTTAGAAGTAATACAGCTTCTAGTTGAATAGTTGAATTAGTTAACACAATTCAACTCTGAAAGGCCCACTGTGATAAACCAATGACATTTAACCAAGGGTATAATTTAATTGTACCGTGCCCTTTAGCAGTAGCTCATTGATCTGTGAAAATATTTGCTGCTTGGTTTAATTAATTTATGATGTTACTGAGTTATTTGTAAAATGAATAACTCCATTTTCCAAATTTCAGGCTTGAGTTCATAAATCCTACTTTCCTTAGAAAAGTGGTTCATCTTTTCTGTGACATTGTTAGACGGTAGGCTTTTCAGATTCCATTGAGCTTAAAAGTAGCTGAGTCCTAATGAAGCCACCCGATTTATATTGCAAATTCTGAAATGCCACATATAATCTTTAGCTATTGCACTTTGTAAAACAAGAATTCATTGCGAATGGGAAGCCAAGCAACAAATTAGTTTAGTAATATTCTAAATCTTTTATTGAATTCCTTTTTGGGATTTTTTTGATGCTTTTGATTTTGGAGCTGTACAAATTAGGAGGGGAAATAAAGTGAATTGGAGAATCTAAAATATAAATTGGCAATTTCTTCAACTTCCCCACATTACCTACAAGATCAGTCCATTGTTTATGTTAATTTTAAAGAAATTCCTTTGAATGAATATGAAGTGTTATGTATTTAAGTATAATCATTGTTTCAAAATTTCAAAATAATAACAACTATTTCTAAGCGTTCCTTTTTAAAAAAGGAATTAATTAAACCAAATAATAGTCTCCTAATTTTATGTAAAAATGAATTACCACTGAGACAGCAACATATGATTTAGAGAGTATTATTTCACCTGTGTTTTAACATTTGAGCTTCAAGTGAAACCTTGCAATACAGATTGGGAATCTGAATCCAGGGAAGTGAAGTAATGGGCCCCAGGTAACATTGCTAGGGAACTCCCACAATCTCCTGCTCCTCATACCTGGTCTCTTTCTTTATACACTGAGCTACACCTGCTGATGATCTGAATTTTACAGAGGTGTAAACAACAAAGTTTAGAACATTTCTTGGGTCCCGTGGATATCTGGGCTCCAACCTGTATCCAATGAAATTTTGAAATTTCTAATATTAATGTGCAGTTTGAACATTAAAGACATTCTCTCTAGTGCTGTTTTCTGTTTTTTTTTAATTAAATTCTTTTATTGGTACATTGTAGGTATACAACACAATTACATTTCTCACTGGGAATTGTACCTTTACATAATGCATCTTGGTTCTTATTTTTTCCCCATTCCTAGCCCTCCCTTCATGCCCTCCAC